TGATTATATACTAGATCGAACCCATTGGTGGGGTTTATGGGGAAAGTCGCTGATGTAGAAACTTAGTCCGAAATAGTTCAGCTTTTGGGGGAGGAAGATGAAGAAGGGTTGCAAATTGATTTCAGACTAGGTGGAATGAACGGTACGTTAGTTGAGAATGGACACTACTTTATTTAGGATTGAGTATCACTTTGTTTCAGAATGAATATTATGTTATTTGTAGATGAATATTATAATTGTATGAAATAAATTGGTGAAAATGAGTACTACGTTACTTCAGAATGAGTACTACATTATTTTCAAAATGAGTACCACGATATTTCAAAATAAACAATTATGTTTGAGCAAGAATGAGTATTACGTTACTTCATAATGAGTACTACCCGGATGTATCTATTTCTAAGTACAACCGGTTGTACCATATACTTTCTCACCATTTTTATGGACTTTCTTACAAAAAAAATTTTATTAAAAAAATATATGCTTATTTAAGTAGTTAGAAAATGCTACTCCCTCCGTCCCTTCATGTTTGTCTACTTTGGAATGGACACAAATACCAAGGCATGTGGGGACAAGGAAGAAGATTACATTTATACCCTTACTTTTGCTACTTTTGGAGATGGAGTACATGTGACGGCAGAAAAGAAAAAAGAGAAAGAACTTTTAAAAAGCAAAACTTTAAAGCCCATAACTTAATTATTACACCATCAAATCATTACTTTTCCGAATCTAGAATAATCTCATTCACCTCCTCATCGCAATCCTCTTCGGGCCTGTTTGGGAAGAGCGTCAGAGTTTAAAGTTAAAGATTAGAGTTAGAGATTAAAGTTAGAGTTTAGCTGTTTGCATCAGAGTTAGTGATTAGCTGTTTGATTTTTATCGTTTGGCGGTTACATTTTTAAAAAAGCTTATGCATGGTAAATTACTAAACTACCCAATTGAACATGTACTCTTGTATTTTAAAAGTTAGCTTATTTTGTATTGTTCTCGTGATTATTTTTACATTTGTTATTATAATTTTTTATTTTTAGGTTAGCAAATTGTTAAAATATTTTTTTTAGAGGGAATCATTAAGAAAAAATGATTTATTATACTTTTAGAATAGAACAACAGAGTAATATTTTAGTAGACCGTAAGAACTAAACATTATATTTTTTTAAAAAAATAAACTTAATAAGCTCTTATAAATGATTGCATATCGAATTTGATAAAAAAAAATCAAACATTGACTCTGTATCTCACCAAACTGTCTGCTATTTTATCTCTAAGCGAACTCATTGCGGATTCATTACTTCCTCTTCGATTACTACTACAACTTTCTTCATCATCTGAATCTTCCTCGAACTCATCATCTTCATCTTCAAACTCTGAAAAATCATAATCTTTGCTACCAGCATGCCGACGAATGTAGTTATGCAAAGTCATGCAAGCAATCACTATCAAAACCTGTTTGGGAAATGGATAATTTCTCATGAATTTTAACATAGCCCATTTATTTTTTAAAACACCAAATGCTCTTTCTATAACACTTCGTAAAGAAGAATGAGCTTTGTTGAATATCTCTTCTTTGCCTGATGGTGGTCTTCCTTGTCGAAAATCTGACAAATGGTATCTCTCTCCTCTATAAGGTCCCAAATAACCG